ACAAGTAGTATATTCATACACCCATATAAAGCTTGGAAGTACAAAAAAAAAACATCTATACTATATACATTTATATATAGGAACATATATATACACACTTGTGTGTGCGTATCTTGTGCGAGTGAACAAATACATATATAGTGTATATAGGTATATAACCCATTTATATACTACTTTTATTCTATTCATATATCAAAAATATATCCATATATATTTAGACGGTGATATGGATTTTCATTAATGTGTACTACCTATCAGTCTATGGATCTATGAATGTATGTATGTAATTATGTAAGTGTATATTTACGTATGTATCTATGTATAGTATATATACATGTATTCCTCTACACATATGCTAATATATATATATATATATATATATATATATACACACACATATACACACGTACATACATACACATACATACATACACATACATACATACATACATACATACATACACATACATACATACATACACATACATACATACACATACATACATACATACATACATACACATACATACATACATACATACATACACATACATACATACATACACATACATACATACATACACATACATACATACATACATACATACACATACATACATACATACACATACATACATACATACATACATACATACACATACATACATACATACATACATATACTGATATACATGCACACAATATGTATACAAATATATGCATGTATATACATAATACATACATATGACCATGTCTTCCTTCGCGATCTTCTAACTAATGAGGATAAGTATTTTTTTTTCTGCTGACTCCTCATATAAAAAATAACTGTTAGTTATAGATCAGATAAAAAAAAAAAAAAAAAAAAAAAAAAAGCATCTATACTATATACATTTATATATAGGAATATATACATATACACTTGTGTGTGCGTATCTTGTGCGAGTGAACAAATACATATATAGTGTATATAGGTATATAACCCATTTATATACTACTTTTATTCTATTTATATATCAAAAATATATCCATATATATTTAGACGGTGATATGGATTTTCATTAATGTGTACTACCTATCAGTCTATGGATCTATGAATGTATGTATGTAATTATGTAAGTGTATATTTACGTATGTATCTATGTATAGTATATATACATGTATTCCTCTGCACATATGCTAATATATATATATATATATATATATATATATATATATATATATATATAGATATATATATATATATAGATATATATATATATACATATATATATATATATATATATATATATATATATATATACATATATATATATATATATATATATATATATATATATATATATACATATATATACATACATACATACATACATACACATACATACATACATACATATATTGATATACATGCACACAATATGTATACAAATATATGCATGTGTATACATAATACATACATATGACCATGTCTTCCTTTGCGATCTTCTAACTAATGAGGATAAGTAATTTTTTTTCTGCTGACTCCTCATATAAAAAATAACTGTTAGTTATAGATCAGATAAAAAAAAAAATATATATATATATATATAGGAAAACTCTAAATGAATTCCTATTGCAAAATCCTTAGTAGTCAAAACGTGTATGTCAAACGAAAGAAATATTACATATTATTACCTCATGATATGCATATTGGAAGGAAGCCAACATTGTCAGCCAGCTAAAGTAAGCAACAAAGCCCCAAGCCCTTTGAATCAGCGAAACTCACGCGGGTGTGTGTACATAAATAGACAAATATATTTGTATATACATACACATGTACATATATATATTTATATATACATAAACGCACATGCATATATACATACATACATATATTTATATATATATGGATATATATGCACACTATGTATACAAATATATGCATATATATACATAATACATATATATGAGCATGTCTTCCTTAGCTAATGAGAATAAGCATCGATTTTTTTTTTTTGCTGACTCCTCATATGAAAAATTAAACTATTTGTAGATCAGCTAAAAAAAAAAAAAAAAAAAAAAAAAAAAAAAAAAGACACTAAATGAATTCCTATTGCAAAATCCTTAGTAGTCAAACGTTTTGTCAAACGAAAAAATGCTGAATATTAACACCTCATGATATGCATATTGGATGGGATATTGAAATCTAAAATAAGTAAAATATTTATTTTCATGTTTCAAAAGAATGGGGATTGTGATGTCCTTTGAAATCATTGTTACCACAGCAAGATGACTAGAGAACTGCTTTCTTCACGTACTTCACGACTTTCCATGGATATGGCTCGGACTTGCGTTCACAGAACACCAATGGTGTTAAAATAATGTTGAATACTTGCTTCCCCCCCCCCAATATACCTTGCGATCATATTTTGGTGACTAATGGTCGATTGTGTAGGCACCCAACAGACAAGCACAGCTGGCGGGAAGCTTGAATGTCTCGATGGCGAAGGGGAAGTACTGATCATAAGGGTTGTAGACAAGGAAGCGGTGGTAGATGGACTTCTGCAGACACTTGGACTCATAGCACTCAGGCACCAGAGGACATGCATCGGCGGAAGTAAGACACTCTTCGATGCGTGTAGTCTGAGTAAGAGTCTGATAATGGGCATCGATATTGTTTACAACGACACGCCATTTTCCCTCGGTGTTCTGGGCACGAAGGGGCCTGATGTAAGCGGTCTCTGATGGGCACAAGTAAGTTTCCTCTTCCAGGGTGTTTGGTCGGTCCACAGACAGCTCGGTGTTGAGGTCGGCTACGTCAGCATAGAGGGAGAGAAGCTTCTCGTAGTGATGCTCGGCTGCGTGTTTGATCTCGTAGGTGGGATAGTGGTCGTCTTGGAGGCACCATGATTTGGTTGTGTTGGCAGCACATTCTGGCACAGCAGGCTCGTGTTCATGCTCATAGGAAGGTTGTGGGTGATAAGCGGGAGCAGGATGGTAGGAAGGTTGTGGATAGTAGGCGGACTGTGTGTGGTATGTAGGCTGATGGTGGTATGAAGGGCGTGCGTGGTGAGATGAGCTGTGGTGGCTGACAGCAGGAGCACCGCCGAGACTGATGCTGACGTGTGAGGTCTGATCGGCCACAACTGCAACCGCCAAACACAACGAAACCTGCAACACATATTGATGAAACTTGTATATACACGGTATTTCATGTACGCACGTATGAACACATTCATACCTACACTCATATGTGCGCATATATGTAAGCATGGATCTGTAAATTTATATCAGAACATACAATGAACTCACCAAGTATCGTAAAGCCATGCTTGCACTCTCAGCTCTCGGTGCCTTCGAACTGTAGCGACCGTGATGATGGGCGTCTTTATATAGGGAGCAGTATCTCTCCTCCCCGCCCCCTAACCCCCCAAATTGTATCATCGAACCGTGAAGGTAATTTCATTTTGATTCATTTATAATTTAAACGTCCCCTCGTGTTTGTATTTCATCTTTAACTACGTGTATTATCTATGGTAACAAAGCACATAGGGAAAATTAATGTCTACGTAGAAATAGAAAATACAGTTTTTCAGGAAGCGAATAATTACAGTGAAAGGTATCCTTGAGCCAGCCAGACCTGTCGCGGAGAGATGAAGACGTTTTTCCTTTCCCTGTCCTATGTGTTTGATCGTTATTTCTGTGACATAATTTTTTCAATACACATTTACATACGTTCATAAGTATATACACATATGAGTGCATATATATATTATATATATATGGATATATATGCACACTATGTATACAAATATATGCATATATATACATAATACATATATATGAGCATGTCTTCCTTCGCTAATGAGAATAAGCATCGATTTTTTTTTTGCTGACTCCTCATATGAAAAATTAAAGTATTTGGAGATCAGCTAAAAAAAAAAAAAAAAAAAAAAAAAAAAAAAAAAAAGACACTAAATGAATTCCTATTGCAAAATCCTTAGTAGTCAAACGTTTTGTCAAACGAAAAAATGCTGAATATTAACACCTCATGATATGCATATTGGAGGGAAGCCAACATTGTCAGCCAGCTAAAGTAAGCAACAAAGCCCCAAGCCCTTTGAATCAGCGAAACTCACGCGGGTGTGTACATAAATAGACAAATATATTTGTATATACATACACATGTACATATATATATTTATATATACATAAACGCACATGCATATATACATACATACATATATTTATATATACATAAACGCACATGCATATATACATACATACATATATTTATATATACATAAACGCACATGCATATATACATACATACATATATTTATATATACATAAACGCACATGCATATATACATACATACATATATTTATATATACATAAACGCACATGCATATATACATACATACATATATTTATATATACATAAACGCACATGCATATATACATACATACATATATTTATATATACATAAACGCACATGCATATATACATACATACATATATTTATATATACATAAACGCACATGCATATATACATACATACATATATTTATATATACATAAACGCACATGCATATATACATACATACATATATTTATATATACATAAACGCACATGCATATATACATACATACATATATTTATATATACATAAACGCACATGCATATATACATACATACATATATTTATATATACATAAACGCACATGCATATATACATACATACATATATTTATATATACATAAACGCACATGCATATATACATACATACATATATTTATATATACATAAACGCACATGCATATATACATACATACATATATTTATATATACATAAACGCACATGCATATATACATACATACATATATTTATATATATATGGATATATATGCACACTATGTATACAAATATATGCATATATATACATAATACATATATATGAGCATGTCTTCCTTAGCTAATGAGAATAAGCATCGATTTTTTTTTTTTGCTGACTCC